CCTTTCTGCCACTTGGTAGAACATGTTGTTAGGGTGGGTGATCCACAGCAACAAAACTGGAAAAAACTGTTAAAATTATGAAAATGGACAAATAGTCAACTAACAAATTGTGGACCATGTATTAGAGAAATCTGCTGAACCTTAGCAAGTACAATGGTTGCCTGTAGCTTTTAGCCTACAGATGTTATCCATCTTTAGATATGTGTACAAAAGACTTATTCTGGCCAGGCGGAGGAGACTCTGATGATTCTCAGTTACTACTCCCCCCACAATCTGTATCAGTGATTAGCACAGCTGAATAAGTAACATAGTGAGTAGAAGACAGCATTGAAAAGAACAGTCTGTTCTCAAAACCAAACTCAAAACCACCCCTAACACTAAAAAGTGATGATTACTGCTGGAATTCACTGGGTTCCATTTTGTTGAATTTGACATGTATGTTGAACATCCCTAACCTGAAAACTTGAAATCTAGGATCCTTTGAGTGATGACATGATAGGCAAAAAAGATTTGGATTTTGAAACATAGTAAATTTTGGATACCAGATTAGGGATGTTTAGTTGGTAAACTCTGTGCAAGAATCCCCAATCAAATGACTCTGAAATCAGAAACAACTCTAGTCCCCAGCATTTCAGGTAACACATTCTCTGTACATGAGAGCACACCTGTGTATGTGAATATAGACATGAGTGCATGGTGTACACATGGATGCCGGAGGACAACCTAGGGTGTGGTTCTTTGCTTTCTACCTTGTTTGTGTCAGGGTCCCTTGTTTGGTGCCATATATGCCAGATTAGCTGGCCTGTTAGCTTCTTGGGATTTTCCTTGTCTCTTCTCATCTCATTGTAAGAATCCTGGCTATTGCTATTTTCAAAGGCTTTATGATTTGATGCTTTCTTTTCTTAATATGTCAAATGAAGCTTTAGAACTCAGAACAATCTTTATTATACACTACACAATTAACATGATAGTGGACAAACCAAATTGGTGATCCTTTACTCTCAGCAGCATGCCTAAGGGACGTTCACTCAGTAGAGAACTGCACATTCATGCACCTGCTCCCTTCCTGCTTTTAATAGAGTCCTGTTTTATTGTTGCTTTCTGAGACAGGGTTTCTGTGTGTAACAACCCTGGCTGTCCTAGAACTCACTATGTAGACCAGGATGGCATCAAACTCAGAGTTTAAAGGCATGCACTGCCACCACCACCGGCCCAGCTAATAAAGTCTTATTAATGTAGACATTTTTATAATGCAGGTGATGGATGTCTGTCTAGAATTACACCTCCCCCCATATCTACTTGTTCAACTATTCTCTCAACAGCCTTAGTCACAAAAGAGAAACTGGCTCCACACTAATGGGGGTTGGCATCTTTATGACCCTCTGGAATTTGCAATCACACTTGGCTCATAGACCTTTCTCATACTACCAATGTTTAGATGAGCACATATATAAAACATCCATCCACATATATGTCTCTTTTACATGTTCACAGTTCTTTGGTTTTATCTTAAAATTGGAAGAGCTGGCAGCTGTATATTGTTGATACAGTTGGGAAGTAAGTTTTGTTCATACTTTTGAGTTCACCATTTGCTTTCAGCCACATAAAATGTCAAAGTCATTCCATGTGTATTTGTTTTCTGTGAAGTTGAGATTAAATTATTTCCTGAAGTTAGTCATATGCCTGTAAAATCAGTGAGCATCCATTCTTCCACTGGTGTCTGCTGTGCTGTTTTTCCACACACATATTTATTTTTCTCTGTAATCTGGAGCACTGTGAGGATGAGCCAGTTAGATCACTGCCTCTCTGCATTGTTTGGTGTGTGTGTGTGTGTGTGTGTGTGTGTGTGTGTGTGTGTGTGTGTTTTGTGTATGTTCGAAGTACTTGTGGAGGCTAGAAGAGGCCATTGAATACCCTGCAGCTGTAAACTGCCTGAAGATAATATGGGTTCTGGGAGTAGATCTTGGATTGTCTGGAAGTGTAGAATGTGCTTTTAATCACTTAGGCTATCTCTCCATCCCCTAAACCTCTTCCTTTGTCAGTATTCATTGTGAGGACCTAGGAGAGTACAGTTTATTGTCTTCATTAGCTTTGCTAATGAGGAGGTTAATAAAGTCAAGAAACAGTGAGCAACATGAAGCAAGTTTTAATTTAAGTAGTTTCTGTAAATACCATGTTTTGTTTTTCTTTATGAACATGTTTAATATCAACTGTGTGACAGGTCACTTTTTAAAGCCATTATATACCTTTGGGTATCATGACAAATGCTGAAGAGCTGTGGAACTGCTTTGTTAAGCAAGACCCCATCAGACCATAATTGCCTAACCAAGGACTGAAATAAGATTTTATAAAGTTCTAGTCAGTAAAGCCCCGAGAGCACCCAGCAGTCCCCACCAGCCTGCCCCCAGTGCTACCAGCAGCCTTGGAAGGAAGTGCTGTTGCCACAGCTGATCTTAGTCATCACCATGACCTCAACCATGAGCAACATGACTGAGACACTCAGCATGGCACCATGGGCACAAAAATGCCACTGTAATGAAAATTTAGAAACAGTAAGATGGTCCAGTATAAGAAGCATATGGTTCTGGGGAGGTGGTTCAATGGGCAAAGCAAGTGTGACGATCTGAGTTCAGATACCCGGAAACCACATTAAAATTTATTATGGTGGTATATCTGTAATCCTAATGCTTCTGGAATCGAGAGGTGGAGAGAACGAATTTCCAGACGCTTACAAGCCAGCTAGCCTGGTGAGTACAGCAACAAAAACAGAGGTCCCATCCCAAACAAAGTAGAAGGCAATGACTGACAACCAAAGTTGTTCTCTAATCTCCATGTATAAGCGCGCGCGCGCGCACACACACACACACACACACACACACACACAAGAGAGAGAGAGGCAGAGACACAGTCAGAGACACACAGAGACAGGCATGGATGGTTTCACCCATGGGATCCCAATAGATGCAGCTTGTTCACCAGATTGTCATAGAGAAGAATAACCAAGGAACATCCTTTCAACAAAGAGGATCCAACACTTGTGCCGTTCTGTGTTGTTATAGGAGAAAAGAGTGCACAGGCAGCAAAGATGTAGGCCCTGGTAGAGTTCTAAAGTGGCATGTAAATGCATAGCACATTGTAACCATGAAAGAGATTATCTGTGGCATGGGAGCTTCCACACAATCATCGGAAGAATGAGCAGAATAATGTAAATGGAGCGTCGTGACATTTCTTCACCTTAGATAGGCCTCTGATAACAAGCCAAAGAAACAGTTCTGGTGGTGCAGCTTAGTGAACCAGTGAGTTTAATTGGGGGTTATTTATAGGATCATGAATGAAGGGGCTGCCCATATAAGCACGGGCAACCTAGAGACAGCTGCAGCACTGAAGAAGAGCCCCCCTCCTGGAAATTAACTTATTATATGTATCCTGGTGGGGGAGCAGCTTCCATAAGCATATGTTTGTAGGCTTAATCTTGTGAAGGTCTTGTATGAGTAATCACAGCTGCTCGGATTTCAAGATGACAATATCTATATCATATTTGGAGGATGGTTCACTGCCCCCAGGACTGACTAGGAAACACTAGGACCTACACATAACATACTTCCTTCCTGCTCCATGCAGAGGACCCATAGTTCTCAGAGTTCTCACAGCCTTCTATGAGTGAGAGTTGATAGAGACTGATAATGTATTGGACCTTTCTTGCTGGAGCAGCAATGAAGATCAGGAAAATAAAAAAGATGTGACCAGCAGCCACCTTCACTTACCAGCACAGGTACTCAGAAAGCCTGAACCAAGCTAGCCATGACAGTGCCAGCTGAGAAGTATGTTCCTAAGACTAAGAAGAGCAGGCCTGAGCAAATTCTGGCTGGCCATCTCTGCCATCATCTGATTGGTCGCTAGATGTGAAGAAATGAATGGAAATTTACTCATAAGAACTGGCTAGAAGATTGACACTGAAGAAGTGCTTGTCTTTTGCCTGTTCAATGGATAACTTGAAGCGTCTGCATTATGGGCGTCTTCATATTCTTTAGATATCTCTTTTTGGTAACAATAAACATCCTTTTAAAGATTAAGTCTGACATTTTTAAACCTTTAGGGTCTTAAGGTTTCACAGTTGGTCAGGATGAGGTTATTAAGAACATCATTTTAAATGTGTAGCCTCAAGAAGCAACTCCCTGGCCCCTGAATCATGACTGCTGAAGTTTGTACTGCAACATTTAGCCTTCCAGTGGGTATAATTACTTCCCCTGAGATCGTCAGTGCTTGGAATGACCTAAGAAAAACAATTTCTTTTTCTCTCTTCTAGCTCTGGTGTGTGGCAAAGCATGTTACATTTATAGCAACTGAAAATTCCAGTGGCTTGGTCCTCCCTAGCAGATGGCTGCAGGACTCGTTTGAGGGATGCTCTGGGGGAAAAACAAAGGCTCAGTAGTTCTTCCTCATTCTGAAAACGTTACACTTTTTCTTCACCTCATCCTGTTCTAAAATCCTCAGAAATGAGAGATGAAGCACAGGCAGGTATTAAGTCTGTTCATGGGGCCATATTAAGCACTGTCCTCTTGAAGCCTTCTGGTGACCGGAGGACTTAAATCAGCAGTGCTATGACTTCCATGTTTTTGGTTTTGCCACGTGACTGGCTTTTAAAAAGTTCAACAGTGATTTTTATTAGTGTTTAAAACTCTGGGATAGGCAGTCTGGAAATCTCAGCATCTTCCCAGAGGCGGTAGGTCGAGAAAAGGAAGAGAGAAAGCCATGCCTTTTTGAGTTAGGTGTGGAAGTTGGGCAAGCAGCCATGTGGCAAAAGGGATGCAGCTTCAGAGTGAAAGTATACTTAGGCTCTGGCCAGTATCTGAAAGAGAGAAACAAAAAAGAAAAAGGAAAATGGCTTTTCTGAGTTATTCAGAAAAGTGGGCAGGTTTAACCCAGCTGCATGGCTGCACCTCTGTAAATGACTGGACAGTAAACCAGGACTGATTTTTTTTATGTGTCACCTATTTCAGGGCTCATTGTTGGAGTGATCCTGAGGTATGGCACCCCTGCTAGCAGTGGTCATGACAAGTCACTCAGCTGTACTCAGGAAGACAGAGCCTTCAGCACCTTATTAGTGAATGTCAGCGGGAAGTTCTTTGAATATACTCTGAAAGGAGAAATCAGCCCTGGCAAGATCAACAATGTGGAGCAGAATGACATGCTTCGGAAGGTGAGTTGGCACCATGGCTGTCTAGGGAAGAATTGCGGATTCCCTGACTTCATCGATACCTTGAGAGAAATCCTTCTCAACTTCTGGAACATCAGTCACATTCCTGTCTTGTGGCTTTCTAGGGTGCTTCTGCATCAGGATGTGGAGAGGAAGAGCCAGATTGTAACTTTGTTGCTTCAGCTTTCTGACCTTCTTAGCTGGCTAGGATCTATAGACATGGTTGCATGTTTGCATATCCCACTTGCCATGTTTTCTCTTAACCTTGCTGTGGCTAGAAATCAGGTTATCTTTCTTAAAATAATATTAATTTCTCTTTACCTTAGTCAGTGTTCTGAACTACAATTCTTATTATATATATGTATATATATACAATTCTTACAGTTCTCCATGTCTCTCTTCACATAGTCTACAAATATTTGTGTTGCTTAAACTGATGCCAAAGACTTACCCAATCGTCAAAGGAAGAAGGGCTTGTTTTAGGGAGAATTTAAGTGCAAACATTGTTTTTCAATGTTAAAAATTGCTTTTATTCTTTTGAGATACTGTCTTAAAATATAGCTCAGGCTGATCTCAAATTCAGTCTTCCTATCTTAGCCTCCTGAGTGGTAGAATTATAGCCATTCTTCACTATGCATGACTCAAGCATTGGTTTTCATTTGATTATGGAGTAGCAAAAATGCTCCCCCCTAAAAAAGATTATGTGTCTCTCATGTGGGTGATTTCCAGGATCAATATTAAGAGATTTATTCATGTGGGTAGATTAATTGACTTTTATTTCAGGTAATCATTTTAAATATATAGCTTTCCCTTCCCTCTGCTTAAAAAGATTAGCATGTTTAGAAATATTTAGTTACTTTGGCTGTACTATGATTGGCTGTGTAGAAGTTTCAGTGTGAATTCCTTATATCAACAACTGATTTCAGTCTCTGTAGAGTTACTGAATTTCTGTTGATGATCAGGAAGCTGCTGACCTCATTAATAACTTTGTCTAGGCCACATGAAGTATTTCAGAAGGCTGTTCACTCAAAAGAGACTTAAGTGTTGTAGGATTGCATCTATAAAAGATCACATGAGTGGTCTAGGAAGTTAATATTAAGACGCATGACAGCATTTTTTATTGCAATTAAGCCTTGATGAATGTGTGATAAAAATCAAGATGTTTTATTTTCTCTTGAAAAACATTGGCAGCAGCTTTCTGTGAGTTCCTGAAATTGCCTCAAACTGTTGTGACTTGATATGTATTAAGACAGAATACTGAAATCTTATTCAGAAGTGCTTAGGGAGGGGGAAAAAGGGAGGGAGGACATGCCAGTCAATAGGGAAACTGTGGCTTCACTGCTGTAATGATTTAACACATTGGTGGCTTTTGTTCTAAATAGGCACTTTAGTCAATGACTTTCAATATTAAATAAATATTATCAATCTATCTTTATCTAAATTTTTTTCTTTTTAAACTTTCAGGTAACATTTGATCCAGAGGTATTTTTCAACATTCTGCTGCCTCCAATTATTTTCCATGCTGGATACAGTTTAAAGAAGGTATAAGCATTTTGCCAGTGATTTCATAAGAGTTTCAGTATTAATTGACCTGGGTAATTTTCTAGTTTTCCCCTTAAACTCTCAGATTTCTGTGTTCTGTAACCACTCAGACACCATAGCTGGCTCATTATCAGTGATTTGTTTCTGTTTTAAAATCTAGTGCTCTTCCGTGCTACCAGTAGGAATGTAACATAATGTAGTCACTTTGGCAGGCAAAAGTGATAGTTTGTTGTAAAACTGAAGTCAAAATTGTCTTAAGGCCTAACAACTTCACTGCTGAGGATTTCTTTTCTTTTTTTATGCAAATCACTTCTTTTTCATTTTCATTTTTATTTATTTTTTTATATATTTGAATTAAAACAAGATTGAATTACATGACAATCCCAGTTCCCTTCTCCCTCCCTTTCTCCTCTACCACCCCACAACTAAAATCCTACCTGTCACATGTCCTTTCTTCTAATCTACACCTGACTCAAAATTTCTGCTTCCTCATGACCTCTGCATCCTTCCTTTTCTTCCCTTCTCACTCTCATCACTGCTGAGGATTTCTTGAAGAAAAAGTAAACTTATATTCACACAAAAACCTATGCCTCCTTCTTCAAACTATCTTATTTGTAAGACAAAACCAAAAAACAACCAAAATGCCTTCCCGTAGGTAATGGTTAAACAAGCTATATGTAGTAAATCCATGCCTTAGAAAAATCCTCAGTGATCACATGAAAAAAAATGTTTGATGTACAATCTGGATAGACTTATGCTGAGTCAAACAATCCAGATTCAAGGTTATATGCTGTATTACTTTATTTATGTACCATTACAGAAATGGTAAAATTATAGAGCTAGAGAACAAATTTGTGATTGCCTGGAATAAAGGATGATGGTAAAGTAGAGTTTGGGGAGAGAGACCACAAAGGACATTTTTGTAGTCATGGAATATTTCTGTATGTTAAACAATATTTTTGTGGTGCCAAGGATGTGATGCTGAGACTTGCACACATGCTAGATGAGTGTTATACTCCAGGCAAGTTCTGTATCTTGACTGTGGCAGTAGTTATACAATCTGCACATGTGATAAAAATTATGTTGACACTGTACCAATGTCAGTTTCCTTGTTTGGGGCACTTTCCTATGGTTACATATGATACAGTCAGGTGGGGGGAAATGGATGAAGGGTACACAAACCCTTTCTGTACTGTCTTTGCAACTTTGGTAAATCCATTGTTAGTCCAAAGATTAAAAGAAAGTTTTAAAGAACTTAACTATCCCCCTTATTGAGAATCATTGTACTTGACAGCATCTTAAGCATAAACCATTGTCTGCTTGAAAAACCCAAGTATGTTTACAAAACATAGGTAGATAGATCGACCTGTCTGTCTGTCTGGTGGATGGGTGGGTCTGTGTGTGTGTGTGTGTGTGTGTGTGTGTGTGTGTGTGTGTGTGTGTATCTATCCATCCATCCATCCATCCATCCATCCATCCATCCATCCATCCATCCATCCATCTATCTCTTATTGTGGGAATCTTGTTTGAACATTACCTCTCCAAATGCCATCCTAGGATAACAGCCTCTAGGAGGATTAGAGACCTGGACCTAGACAAGGACTAGGACTTGTTACCCGGAGACAGTTCCAGGTCTAGAAAAGAGAGATCTTGGCTGACAGTAAACATCTTTATGAACTAGAAAATTACTCCTAAATGGAGAAACTCTGGATAGATTAATTGGAAAAACTGTATTAGAAACATAAGAGGGTATCACTGTAGAATATTAAGACATTCAACAATAATTAAAGTAGTACTAAGAACAATTTTGTGTCAGTAAATTGTATGGGGAGGGAGAAGTTAATCTCAGGTGTGATTCTTCAGGCACTATACACTTCATTATTTTTGAGACAGGGCTAGACTGGCTGGTTAAGGAGTTCCAGGGATGTGCTTTTCTCAACCTCCTCAGCACTGGGATTAAAAGTGTGTGCCACCATGCCCACCTTGGCTTCTCTTTCCTCCCATCTCTGTCTCTCTCTGTGTGTGTTTTGTACATATGTGAGTTTGCAAGTATATGTATTTATTTGCATGCAAGCAGAGGCCAGAGGATGATGTCAAATGTTTCCTTTTGTTGCTCTCTCTCTGTCTTGTTGCATGAAGATAGGATTTTTCACTGTTTGGCTAGGGTAGCTGACCAGCAAGATCTCATGAGCCACCTGTATTCTGCCTCCCAGTGCTGGGATCACAGGAACACACAGCTGTGTGCAGATTTTTCATGTGTGTTCTAAGGATTCAAATTTATGTACTTGTGCTAGCAAAGCTAGAGATTTTACTCCTGAGCCATCTACTTCCACCCAGCCTTTTGTTTTATGTGGATGTTGAAGATCAAATACAGGTCTTCATGGTTTCATTGGAAGCACTTTCTAGACTAAGGTGTCTTCCTAGCCCTTGTACTAGTAAACTTGACCAATAAAATGGACAGATTCACAAACTAATAAAACTGACCAGAGAGAATATAGAAAACTTAGGCAGCTCTATATTAAAACTTAATTAATAATTAAAAACCTACTACAATCCTACATGGTTTCATTAGTGAACTCCACCAAGCATTTAAGGAAGAAATGAAACCATCCCTGCAAAAGCTCTTTCAGAAAATAGAAGACAGGGCACTTCCCAATTCCTTTTAGGAGAGGATGCCTGCCCAACAGATGGGATTTTCTATTGAAACCACTCCTTGCTTTTAAACTCTTTATGGAACACTTACCCTCAGCTAGGTACAGTTGCTCAACATATTTATTTATGTTTATATGAATTTTCATGGAAACTATAAGAAAGTAATGATGGTTGAACATAGACACAAAGAGTTAACTCATGATTAAATAATTAATTTATGATTCAAAATCCCCGGCAAGCCTTTTGAAGTATGAAGTTTAGCTCTTAGTAATGGTACACCTTAAGTACTTCATTCATTGAAGACAGAAAGACAGTGGCCCTTTAGCTACCAGCTTAGTCAGAGGTAGGAGGCTGAAATGGAAAGATCCTAGAAACTGCTGTGCAGGACAAAGGCTGCCTCTTTCACTCACAGCGTGGACACTGGAGGAAAAAGTATGGTCATTTTGCCTAGTACAAAAGGGTTAAGACTTCAAGCCAAGGTCAAAGCAGTGTTCGATTTCATAGGTGAAGTGAGCACTCCCTACTGCATCACTCTGGGACAGGAGAGGAACATGAGCGGGTTAGGCTGCTGGATACCCGAGGAACAGGAGGCTGTGTGGCTCTACACACTCAGAATGATTAATGCTGCAGGTGAGGGTATACAGGCGATGCAGAACTAAATCAAAGCCAGTCTTTTCTCTGTCCAACTCCTGGTCCAGGTGTTACTTTGTGCTACACTAGCTCTAGATGGCAGGTTTTCCATATAAAACCTCCCAAACATACAGTTTTTCCAAATTGTTTATACAGTTGCCAAAGTAATCTGAATCTTTACATCATTTATTGACACATAATAAATACGGAATGGTTATTATAGGTATAACATAATTTTTCCCTCAGAGGGAAAACTTGGGAACTCTTCTTTGTATCAAATGGGTGATGAGTAATTTATTTTAAATAACTAATCTTTACATACAGTCAAAAGTCATAGTTGCTTTAAAATGAAAGCAAATCATAGGTTATGAAAGCCTCACTAATGGTTGCAAACATTTTGGCAGAACCTTCCTTTCATCAGCTCTGTTTTCTTAAAAGAAACCCAAATAACAAGCTTTGCCTGTTACCAATTTAACTTGCTTTTGACACTCTGGTCTTCCATGTTACCAACCATTAGTGTTTCTTTTTTAAACAATTCTTATAATGTCACCAGATAGATGATTGTTACTGTGTTTGACATCTCTGATTGTACCTATTGTTGATTAAAATTTGATATTTTACCATTTAATTTGTTGTATATAAATAGATACATTTGCATCATTTGATATATGTATGTTCTATACACCTCTGCAGACATACCTTGAAAAAGTTACTATTGAATTTGCCCTTGATTTTGTGCCACTGCCTTATGGTTTGTTTATTGGGCACTAGTTTTGGAAAAATCATCTAGACAGCTTTTTGTGACCATTTCAAAACACACACACACACACACACACACACACACACACACACACACACCACACCACACCACAGATGGTGGGATTGGGATAGAATTGTTTCCCCAGCAGTAAGAAGATAAGGCTGAGAATGATACACGACTAACTGGGATGTCCAATGGATTTCACCAAAAGTGAACCTTGTTCTGGTCTATGCTGGGCTTAGATTCTTGAAGGCTTTACTTGGGCATGCCACTATCTCCCCTTCCCCCTCTGTTTGTCAGTCTGAGAGAGAAAAATAGGGACCAGTCATGACTATAAAAATAGGAAGGAAGGTCTAATATTTAATTCAGTAACACATGTCCTTCCTTTTTCCCTCACAAAGCAGAGTGGTGGAGCTTGATAAAGCCATGCACCTGAAGTCCCCAGTTCAGGGTCATAGTTTGGTAGACTTATGATTTTTCTCATGTAAGATGGTTCAAGAGCTGGATATGTCAGCTCATGCCTATAATACCGGCACTGGGGAAGTTAAAGCAAAGCCAGCCTGGGTTACAGGGTGAATCCCTCTGTCTAAAGAACAAAACAACAGCTGATAATTTAGCTCATTGGTGAAGCAGTTACCTAACATACACAAGAGTGTAAGTCGATCTCCAGTATGGCCAAAACAAATAAACAAATAAGTAAAATAAAATGAAATGCCACAGGGTTGCTGTGAGAACTGGATATACGAAAGTACTTTGTATTATGAAATGCGTGTTTAAGTGCTGATATAATATGCAAGCCAAGTGGCATGTCTTTTCAAAATAAAAATTTAGGTCAGTATGTTTGAATGAGAAATGAATAATTTTTATGTGGGGGAGGGGAGGAGAGAATGAGATTCTGTATTTTTGTACAGAATCTATTTTTGTAGATTTACATTTAGCTTTAGCTAATACCGTAAATGTGGACATTATCTGTGTTTCTGTTAACCCTGGGAATAATTGCTCAAAAGAAAGCTGAATGAACCTACTCTAGTGTGAATCTGGGAGAATGGAGCCTAAAAATGAGACAGACTAAAGTCTCATGCAATAGCCAACTTTATTTAGAGCAACAGATAATTTATATTCTGGGGGTTAATGGGCTGGCTAGTATTATGTTAACTTGACACAAGCTAGAGTTACTTGAAAGGAGGGAATCTCAACTGAGAAAATGGATCCATGAGGTCTAGCTGTAAGGCATTTTCTTAATTCCTGATTGATGGGGGAGGACCCAGCCCATTGTGGGTGGTGCCATCCCTGGGCTGGTGGTTCAGGGTTCTATAAAAAAGCAGGCCGAACAAGCCATGAGGAGCAAGCCAGTAAGCAGCACACCTCCATGGCCTCTTCATCAGCTCCTGCATCCAGGTTCCTGCCCTGTTTGAGTTCCTGTCCTGACTCCCTTCATTGATGAACTGTTGTATAGAATTGTGAATGAAATAAACCCTTTCCTCCCCGAGTTGCTTTAGTCATGGTGTTTCATTACAGCAAAAATCACCCTTAACTAAGAGAGTTAAGCAAGGTCACATGAGCAAAGTTCACATGACTTTAGGCTATATACAAACTCAAGGATAGGCCATGCTTGGAAACATTTTTTGAATAGCAAAAGTAAGATAATGGATAATGTGAAGTAAACTACTCCTATTTACTATACCTGGGAGGGGCAAAAAAGCACATTCCAAAACCAAACCAATGTTGAGAAGGAACAGAGGTCACAAGACCTCTTGTCCTGTTTTCTTGGTGTTGTCTCACAAGCTCTCAGAATTCTTCTCACACAGCTCCGTTCTGGGATTAAAGGAGCGTGCCACCAACGCCTGGGTCTTTAGGGGCTTTTAATGTAAAGTTTTTGTTTATATATTTGATTTTTTTTGGCTTGCTACCAAGAAGTACAATAATCTCTATTTTTTGTTGTTTCATTCAGAGACACTTTTTCAGAAATCTTGGATCGATTCTGGCCTATGCCTTCTTGGGGACAGCTGTTTCTTGCTTCATTATTGGGTAAGTGATTCTTTTTTGTATAACCAGTCTAACATACTACCAATATGATGTACAAAGCAGTATTTTAATGTTGTGTGAGGATGGTAGTTAGGATAGAGAGTTATCCTGTCTAGTATAGTAGCTGTTAGCTACATGTGGGCATTACATTTAAATTAAGAATAATTAAAATGAACTAAAATTACTAGATCATAATTTTGTACAGCATTCTCTGATAAAAAAGCACCAGTGCCTCTTATTCTAGGGTTGGCACAATAAATTTACATGAAAATGGAGCATCATTTAATACCAGAAAGTAAGCAAATGCACATAAGACAGACAGCCATAAAGATACAAGGCATGTCAAAGGAATCCAAAAGCCAACCTGAAGTTCTCACCATAGCCAGAGCCCATAAGTGGCTGAAACACAACAAAATGAATAATTTTCTACTAGATTAATAGAGTATAAAATAAATATTCCTGAGTCCACACAGAGAGATGTGTTAATGAAGAAATAAATGAGAAGAGACACATTTCTTGTGCCAATTTGTATATGAGTGTTATAGATACATCTCCTTCAAAGTAGTAGAACTTGGTCACACCGTCCCCAGGTCTTCATTCCAACCTAGCTTTGAGTGTTAACTGTATGTTGTAGTTTCCTATAAAGGGGAAGAAGAGAGTAGTAGCTGAAAAGTAGAGAGCATGGAAGACACTACAAGCCTTGTTATTATATATCCTTGAGATTTGTGATAAGAAAGTCACTTTGCCTCCCTGGTTATCTACCCCAAACACATCACCTTTGTCTGGAGAAAAAGCCAGATAAATCTCAACTGAAGGGTATCCTGTGAACTTTCTTGCCAGCATTGCTCAAAATGGCTAAGGTCATCAAAAACAAGCAATGGATGCGAAACTTTGACAAGCTAAAGGAAACCAGGAGATTTGACGACTAAATGCCATGTGGTAGCTTGGATGGGATCTTTTTATAGAAAGGTGATATTAGGTTTTAAAAAATGCACAAGCAAATCTGAATGTAGTAAGGACTTTAACTTTAAAAAAATAGTTGGAAAGCTGGAGATAATGGCAAGGACCTTCTATTCTAGTCTTTAAAAGGAAGGTCTTGGAGCATCTCCTTAATTAGATGACAGATCACTGAAGAACACCAGGTTCCCTGACATGCATTAATGATGATAGGAAACAAGATGGGGGTAAGGATGCAAGAAGGAAATGTACTACAAAGGTCTAGAATTTTAGTAAAGAGGAATGAAAAAGGACATCTCAAGAAATATTTGAAAGGTATGAACATGAAAAAGCCTTTGATAAGTAGCAAAGAACAAATCAGATCGGTTCCATAGAGCTGTCATGGACTGAAGTTGAGCTGATTGGAGCAACACCTGGCACACACTAGGCAAGCATTAAGTGCTAGCTAACTTTCATAAGCATTTCATTTTGCACTGCAAACAATTCTTTCACCCCTAGCTTAGTCAATCTACTGTTCTAGTCACTAAGCATGGCATAAGACATAAGCATAGACGGTGACATGGTCCTTAGTATCACAAATCTCATTAAATGCTTGGCTTTAGTGTACAGGGAGTTAATTCTATGTTACTTTTATTCTTTTAACCCCTGCAAGTTGCTGTTATTACAACAGCAGATACATACACACATGTGTAATATATGGTAGGCTATTCATCAACACTCATTGCTATTTCTAGTTATAATCTACTACATAGGGAGTTTGATCTAGCCAATCTGAAATATTGAACTTGGTGATCTCTGTTAGACCATGTCACATTCTGTTCAATATGGGGGGGGGGGCTAAAGCCAGCTTGCCTCACCAAAGAGAGCAAATGGTCAGGTGTATCAATGGGGACACTGGTGATCTACTAGAACATTACAAAAGGGTTGCATATCTACCTTCTTTGCACTACTTCTTGATGGAGATATTAATAGTATCAGTCCCTCCAGCTTCACCCAGCCCCCTAATTTTTATGACTTGAGATATACTGTCTTCCACAAATGTAGTGCTTTGTTATACATTATTTCAGGCTCTATCTTCCATTCTCCTCTATCACCCAGTTGCTTAAGATCATTTAACTTCATCAATGACCATACCTCACAGCTAACATAGTTGGTAAGGAGAACAACTTTTAAGAATGAAATATTCAGGAGATGGGGATGTAACTCAGTTAGTACAGTTTACTTAACATGCACAAAGCTTTGGGTGATGGTAGTTTACATCTGCAATTCCAGCACTTGAAAAGCAGAAGCAAAAGAATCAGAAGTTCAGGGCCATCAAAAGTTGAGTGTCATCCTCCACTACATAGCAAGTCAAGGCAAGATTAGTCTACAAGAGACCTCTCTTAGTGCCCCATCCCATGCACACACAAAAAGCAACAACAACAAAAGAAATATTCAGATGCTTCTGCAAGATAATAACTACAAACCGCTCCTTGGTGCCAAAGTTCTGTTTGCCTGGGTTCCTGGTAAATGCCCAACCATAAAAGCTGCCTATTGCTCTCCTAAATCTCCCTTAAAATACAGTGTTTAATAGTACTCTATTACTCTGTTTATATGCCAGCAAGAGTTTTCCCTGACACTGTTTACCTATCATTTTACAGAAATCTTATGTATGGCGTGGTGAAACTCATGAAGATTGTGGGTCAGCTCTCAGATAAATTTTACTACACAGATTGTCTCTTTTTTGGAGCAATTATCTCTGCCACTGACCCAGGTAATTAAACATTTGGCTTGATTATTATGTTACTATATTATTTAACTCTTATAAAGTTCAAAGCAGTTATTGACTTTTGTTGCAGTAGAGAGACTGTGGCATTAACAGATGATGGGGGGAGTGAATAGTAGTTAGATCTAACATACAGGCTTTCTAAGAGAAGTATATGTTTATTTTCTGTGGTGGTTTGAATGTGATGTCCCCACAGACTCAACACTTGAATACATGGTCCCCATTTGGTGGTGCTGTTTGGAAAAACTTAGGAAGTTTGGCCTTGTTTGAGGAAGTACATCACTGGAGGTGGGCTGTGAGAGTTTTAAAAGCCTCATGTCATTGTTAGTTCACTCTCTGTGCTTGTGATTTAAATTGTGAGATTTCAGTTTCTTCTAGCCACCATATCTGGTACTTGCTGCCACTGGAAAAGCCATAATGGTAATGGGCTCTTATCACTCTGGAACCTTAAGCTCCAATAAACCCTTCCTTCTATAAGTTGCCTTGGTCATTATTTTTAATCATGACTAAAAAATTAACTAATATATCTTTTGATTGTGGTAAAATGCACATCATGCAACTGAGCATCTTAATTTCTTTTTTTATTTTTTTTCATTTATTTAGCTCATAAATATAGTCATGCACAATTATGATACACAATACAGTATGTTCACAATGGCATGGCTAAATTAAACCAATTAACATGTTATATCACATATATTCATCATTTTTGTTTTTAGTGGGCATCTTAATTTCTGAATGGATGGTTCAGTAGCATTAAGTATTATACCATTCAGCAAGTAATTTCTTGAACTTTTTCATCTTTCATAACTGAAACTCTAAACTCATATAACAACAGCTGCCTTTCCCCCTTTCTACCCAGATTCTTGCAGCAATCATTCTACTTTCCCCTCTATGAATTTGACTACTATAATTTCCTTGTGTATATAAAATCTTACAATATTTGTCATTTTGTGACTGGCTCATTTCACTTAGCATCTTGCCCTGCAATTCATCCATGGTGCAGTGTATGCCATGATTTCCTCCCTTTTAAGGTTGAATACTATTTCACATTTTGCTTATTGAACCATCTGTTTACAGACACTTGAGTTGTCTCTACCTGTATTCCCTGTTGTCTTTTATTTTAGAATGACTAATATGAACATACTTTAGACTTATTCTTTCTCAGCATTGTGCCTTCACCTTCCTTTAGGAAACATACCATTTGGTTTGAATAATGATTTTCCTTAATGGAAAGAGTTGTGTTTATAAACATTTTTGTGCAGAGTTCTTGTGATAGAGTTGTTTTAAATCTTTTCTCCTGTAATATTCAAGTGTTGAATGAACCAGTTCCTAAAAGTGGAGTTAATGTATAGCCCTTCTCCCCCGTACCCCAAAAACACAAGTAAGATAGCTTAACTCCAAGTTAGAATGTATAAAGCATGCTGGGCTGTGGTGGTTGTGGTGCATGCCTTTAGGCCTGGTCTACGGAGTGAGTTCCAGGACAGCTAAGGCTACACAGAGAAACCCTGTCTTGAAAAACCAAAAAAGAAAGAAAGAAAGAAAAACAAAAAAGAATGTATAAAGCAGAGTAGGGGGCTGGAGAGATAATTGGCTGCTCATGTAGAGGATTCAGGTTCGATTCCCAGGACTCACATGGTGGCTTACAACTATCTGTAACTCCAGTTCCAGGGGACCCACATTCAGGGAGAATACCCATACACATAAATTTTTAAAGTCCTCCCAAAGTATCAGCTATTACTTTCTGTAATGTTAGCTATTACAAGTCCATGCTCCATGTCTATGGATTCAGTTAACTGCAGACCAAATGCAGTTTAAAAAACCTCCAAATACATATGTGTATTCATGTATACATATATTTTCCTAAATATAATTTCCTAGGTCCATATAATGTTACTTGTATGTACGTTTTTAGGGCTATGAAAAAAGAGACCATGAGTTTGAAGGAAAGTAAGAGGGATATTTGGAAGGAGGAAAGGGAAGGGAGAAATGTTGTAATTAAGTTGCAGTCTCAAAAATAAAAACAGTCGCACATGTACTGAAGTTGTAATTTAGTTTTTTCTTGTCTTATTCCCTAACCAATATAGTATAACAACTACTTAGGTAACATTTACCTTGTATTAACTATTACAACCAATTTAGCTATGCTTTCAAATGCAATAGGGTGCACATAGGTTTTATATACACATATTATTATTATTATTATTATTATTATTATTATTATTATTATTATTATTATTTGGGTTTTGGAGATAGGGTTTCTCTGTGGAGCTTTGAAGCCTATCTTGGCACTTGCTCTGGAGACCAGGCTGGCTTCGAACTCACAAAGATCCGTCTGCCTCTGCCTCCCGAGTGCTGGGATTAAAGGCGTGAGCCACCAACACCCGTCTACACATATTATTTTATGTAAGGGATTTCAGCATCTATGTATTTTGGTGTCTGTGTGAGGAAGTTCCTGGCACTGATTCCCTTCAGATAATGAGGATTGACTAATCATATACATCTTAGAAATAGTTTACGGAGAAAGGGTTGGTCTACTACTAACAATTGAGGTATAAAAATTTTGATGTCTCTATTGTTGTTTAGCTAACTGTATAAAAACATGCATGTGTAAAACACTCTCTAACATTCTGAGCAGCAACAATCTTAATGATAGTTCCCACTTGAGCATGCCACTTAGGGGTCCTCTAGATTAGTGTTATTCCTCAGCTCTTTCTGCAAAGAATGTTCTGTAGTCTTCTTGTTCATTCCACTATGGTAGCCACTGGTCATTGCTGCCACAGAGCAGTTGAAATGTGGGGTACTGCAAATGGAAGAACTGAGCCTTAGTTTTCATTTAATAGTAAACAATTTAAATTAAGTGGTTTCATCCGACTAGTTATCACCACTTTGAACAGTGTGGTATTAGACAGTTGTGTAGTTCTGAAGAATCTAAGTGTTACAAAATACAGTCACCTTTCTCTTTTTTTTCTTTAAATTAAAAACAATCTTATTTCACATACCAATCTCAGTTCCCTCTCCCTCCTGTCCTCCCATACCCCCCAAACAGTGACCTTTCTTACTGTCATATATTATCATAGACACTCGAAATTAGTATCGAAGGATTGGCTGCTTGAGGCAGCTTGGTTTGTGAAAAGAAGGTGAGATTGTGGAGTCTTGGCCTTTGGGTTAAGCTTTCCATGGGCTAGTCACTGATCAGCTGGCTTGGGCCCACTTTCCCTTCTCCTGTTAGTGTCCTCATCTGTAAAGTAGAAGTAAATGGTTCCTGTTTCTAAGGCTCTTGTGAGAATGAATTGCAGCCACACATGCGAAACACTGAACTTAACATTTGCTGATTGTGTTGGCCTCTGTACATCTGACTTGGGCAGAGAGTTCTGCTTCCCTCATGTTTGTTTAAAAGATAAATGATAGATCCTCACTACTCAAGCATGCTTCTAAAAAACACTCTGAAAGGGAGGTTTATTTAAATGCTAAGCTGTCTGTGACTATGTTCAGAGGACAGTCTGTTGAGAAATAAAGTCTTCAGAAGCCTGAGAAAGGTGTTTACATTGTCTGAAATGTATATTACTGTTTGTTTGTGTGTAGTTTTATTATTATCATTTTATTAGTACTATCACCAAGTAATAGGTGAGTGTGATAAAGATTACAGATACTGTTTTCTGAATTATTAGTGTTGCTTTACTTATAATTGATAAAAGGCCTGTTTTTCCAGATTACTTATATAACTGTTTATTTCCTTATAATGTGTCTGTACTATGTTATAAAATAATGGGAAGCATTGTCATGTTACATCATTTTTATTTGACCTCTGAAGATTGGCATAGTAAGAGTTCCATGTAAATAAAAGTTCTAGAAAATTAGAAGTTTAAACTTGTTAGAGCATTAACTGCTTTTTGAATGAATAGCTTTTGAAAGTAGGATTTTTGAAGTGTTTTACTAGCCTCCTAAAAGTCTGCTATTTGAAAACGTCCATAAAGAGATTGAAATTTGAATGCAGAGTTAGAGGATGATACTAAAAAACAAACAATAAAAAGAGGCCCATTTTTGCTTGCAATAAAGTATGTCAATCATTCCCTTAACCTACACATTTTACAAAACAGAAGGTCATTTATTGGGCAGCTGAGGGTGGAGGTGAGAGAACCAAGTCTCAAATCCTAGTCCCAGAAGATAGGGATGGGGCTGTTTGTAGGATAATAGAGCAGGGTGATGTAAGACATGGGGGAATGTGGCTGGAGAAGCAATGAGTGGTCTAAATACGTGTATAATGATCTTCATGGGTCTTCACGGAACACACGTTTAGAAAAGGGCAGTGTTAATGTGATGTGGGGGAAGACTAAGTGCCTGCGTAGGCCCACGTGAAGACTTGGTGGTAGCAACAAAAATGGCCTTGAAGTTATTACTTGGGCTGCTGCTATTATTGTGACCCTCAGTCAGAGATATTATCTACACAAAACCTATGTGGAGGTGAATAAATTTTAATGATATAGTTTAGTTGTATGAATTCCAAAATTAGTGATTTAAAGGCACACCTTTAATCCCAACACTCAGGAATTAGGCAGAAGCAGGCAGATATCTGACTTTGAGGCCAGCCTGGTCTACAAAGCAAGTTCCAGGACAGGCAGGGCTACACAGAGGGATTCTGTCTTGGAAAAAAACAAACAAACAAAAAAAACCCTCAGCTGAAAGCAAGTGACTAAGTGGGAGTGTGGACGGGCGGAATCACGGAAGTCATGAGACCAGCTGCACTTGCTTGATGGTTTGCTTTTAGAGGCAGGCTCTCATTGTAGCCCCGGATGGCTTAGAACTCACTGTGTAGCACAGGCTGACCTGATTGCTGTCTTGACCTTCTGAATGCTGGAATTACAAGTCTGAGCAACCACATCTAGTTGTTTAATGGTCAGATTTGGGAGTCTGTTCTCCTGTGGAGTTTTGGAGACTGACGTCTTACTCTTTGATAGTCCCGAGAATGGCTCTCAAGAGTCATTGAG